GGAGGAGCACAGAGGCAAAGGTCAAGTATGGCTGTCTACCTGCAGGGCTTCAGAGAGGGAAGGAAGGAGGCTGAGGGCACCAGGATACCCCAGATCCTTCCTGTCCCCAAAAGCCCTTCCCCAAGGTTGGTCTTATGACCTTGGAGAAGCCGCCAGCACAATCCTTTCTGTGTTCGCTACAAGGGAGAAGCGGGATCTGAGTGCAGATCTTCAGCTTTGAGGTCAGAGCAATTGTCTGACCTTGTAGCTGGGAATACAGAAAACTTTATGGCTGTCTGGATGCTGTCTAGCAGTCATAGGGTTGCTCTGTAAGTAACCAATAAAAAAGATTCCTGGGCAATGTATAAATTGCAATTTTCAAGGATGAGATAATGGAATTCTAGGGCCACATTATTATTGTTATCATTATAGCTTTCAGAATCTCCTCCAATTTGCTTTGCAGACACTATTATCCCCTCTCAGGCCTTGCTTTAGGAAGTATTGTTTGTATCTCTAGTTTCCTTATGATGCCAGGATGCGACTGTGTAAACCAAGGAACTAAGATCCACATTCAGAATTCTAGGTTTCTTTCTCAGTCTTCTCAGTCTTCACCCGGTGTGCATGCCTGAGCAGATCCACCCACATTCACATATGTGTTTTAAGAAACAAAGGAAAATACCCTAACTCCCTTCTTTGTCAAACACAAGGCTGATACCTCACAAATCCAAGGAAGTTTTCCCCAAAGACTAGGTGAACAGCTGAAAATAGAACCCACCAAATCATATTTGCAATTTCTTGGGCTGTGGCTGCAACTAAATATGCAATGTCCGTACTTCTGGGATGATCCAGGTTCAAAGCATTGCACCATGAGGTTGCAGCTGATGTGTCACATATAGATTGCTCCTTTCCTCAACAGGGACCCAATACCCCAAAGCTGGGTCCCCAACACAGTGCCTGTGGGGGTACCTCTGTTGGCTCCTTCCAGACTCGCCAGCACTACTTTATTTGGGCTCAGATGAGTGTTTCTGTGTTTTGGAACTAAGTTTCTACCTCTGCCTTTTACTTTGATTTTTGAGCAAGTTACTCATTGCTTAGCCTCCTCAGTTTACCTTCTGAGAAATAGGTGTTTTGTGATCAGCCGTGCCCACCACTGTGTTATATTAATTTCAATTGTAATAATATTTTGTGGTGCCCCTACATATCAAAACATCTCTGCAAGTAAATATGCAGAGTTTCCATCCAAGTATGGTAAATAAGGGCACAATACTGTGTATATTTAGACAGGAAAAAATCCTTAAACTCTCAGCAAGGTGGGAAAATGCTAGGAGTTAAAGGAGTTTTTTCTTTCTAAATTTGTATTAGCATAGGATTGCAAAGAATACAAGAATTTTTGCAGTCAGTTCCTCAGATACTATTTGCTTTCCATCTCCTAAGTGGTCACCATTTTGCATAAAATTCTCTAAAGGGTTACAGCTTTTCTGGCCTGTGATATGAATTGACTTATGACTACTATCTGACTCATTTTGCTCTGCTCCACTGGAGTTTTGCTCTGCCTCCTTTGTCCATGGAATCATGCAAATAACCACATGACATTCTGCCTTCCGTGACTGTTTTGCTTTGCCAGCTTGGATTCTGTTGCACATAGATTTTCCCCACATTCCCTTATGAGGATGCTCATGGACTGATTCTAAAGCTGAGGGGTCCTGAAAAGCAGTAGACATTGTATTTTTCTGTTATTTTTCTGCCATTTTTATTTCGTATGATGTGGCTTGAGTGCATGAGTAGACTTAGTCTGGCTTTGAAATGGTCAGCCTGAATGTTTTTTGTAAATGGCATTTCCAGTTTTTAACACTTTGCAAACCTCTGCTGTCTATGTGATTTTGTTTGAATCATGTTAATTTCTCTGAAAGTACACATGATCTTTTTGTATTTATTTTAAAATATATTTTTTCTATGAAAATGCACCAAGTGGCATACAATAATCCAAACAGGAGTATTAAGTGCCCCTCTTTAACAAACAGCAAGATCAAAGTCTCAGGAAAAAAGAAATGATAGCCATGCTTCTAAGTTTAGATGCACTACAGAGACTCCTTTCACTGGAAGAAAATTGTACTCAGGCGCCATAATGAAAAACAGACTTTTTATTTCCATGAACTTAAATATATTTAATTCAGTCTTGTACTATGTCCTAAGGGTTTTCACAGAAACAGTGGGGTTTGTCAGGGTATGTACAGGATTTCTCCTGGAAAGTCAAAAAGAAATTAAGGACTAGGATGGCCACTTTTCCTACTTTACTTAGGTCAGTGCTTCATTTGAAGGACTATCTGGTCCAAATTTGGTTGAACTGTAAAGAACCATAAGGAGAGAGAAAGCAGCAAAAGTACTGAACTTGCTAGTACCTGGATAGAAAACCATTGGGCAGACATGTTTAGGTCTTCGCCACAAAGGTGAGATGTACAGTATTTTTATTTAAATATAGTAAATATTTCTAAGTGTGCATAATATATGCAAATTTTATGCAAATCTCTGTCCTCTTTTTTGGTGATGCTTAACTGGCCAGCACATCATGAGGACCTCCTTGATCACTCTGCAGCCCTGGATTTATGCTTGCATCCTCCACTTCCCCACCATACAACTTCCTCATTACTGAAATGGAATATGGCTATGAAGATCCTCACTTCTGCTGGCAACCAGACTAGTGAGTGTTTTATCAAGGCATATGGATGTGCAGCTTCTTTCGCAGACCGAATGCACACTTGCGCAGCACATCCATAATCCTTTCTATTAGTGCAGCAGAGAGATGACTCTGTGGCATTCTCCCTACCTGACCATGCTTCTGCATTGCTGATGACAGCTTCCCATGCGACTCAAATGACATCTGTGGTAGGGGAAGGGGGTTTTGGTTTCTTCTGTTAGGATTGTGCTACAGTGATTTAGTTTGCTTGCTTGTGTATTTTCTAAAATAGCCTCCCAAGCATAGATCAGATCCTGATATTTTTTCCTATGCCTGCTATTTAAGCAGAGAAATTAAGTGTGCAAAGTCAAATCAAGCCAAACATGAATCCTGTGTTTAGGTGCTCCCACCATTTGAGTTTATGCTGGGGACCAGGGAAGCAAAGGGAAGGATGAAAGGGTCAGGTAAATGAACAGGCCTTTGCTTGGTACTTCACATCTGGCACCAGGTAAGCTTCCATGGGGGCGAGCATCCTAAAGACAGGATGCCACACTGAAGGCATCTTGTTTTTGGGATGTTCTCTCCCCAGGGAAGCTTACTTGGTGCCATAGCTGATAACCTTCAAGTGCCAGGTAAAGGCTTAACACTTTTATTTATTTTTAAGCAAGCTGCTGCTGCTTGTTGAACTTAAAATACTGTGTTTTTATCTGCTAGTTCTGTTTCCAGGCCATTTTAACAGCATCCTGAAGGTTGCATCAAGGGATTGAAACATGGGATTACCACAGGATCGGTAACTGTAGCTTGGTTGTCTCTTTCCAAAAAGGGTCCTAGCTAGCATCATCCCAAGCTAATAAAAGGTGCTTTCTGCCAGCAAGTCCAGATGTGCCTGTAGTATAATGTTGGATTCAAGAGCATCCCACACTACAAACCTGATCCTTTGTGGGAGTGCCACCCCCTCCAGAACCAGATAAATATCACGCAGCCAAGATGAGCTACCTAATGCTGCTGTCTTTTCTGAACTGAGTCTCAGTTTCTTTGCCCTCTTACAGTCTGTTACCACATACCCAGGCTCTGAACACCCACTGCCTCACCTGGACTTGACGAAAAACAGAGATAGAGCTGAGTGTCACCTGCCTATCATTTACACCTCAGTCCACATCTCTAGACAACTTCTGGCAGTGGTTCTGCGTTTACTGGTAGGGAGGGCAACCTGAAAGGCAACTAAAATGATCAAGGGGTTGGAGCAGCTCCCTTATGGGGAAAAGTCACAACACTAGGAATGTTTAGCTTAGGAAAAAAGTGAGTAAGGGAAGACATGATAGAGGTGTGGAGAAAGTGGAGAAGGAGACCTTTTTTTTTCTGTCCCATAATACTAGAACCTGGGGTCATCCCATGAAGCTGACTGGCTTGAGATTTAGGACAGATAAAAGGAAGTACTTCACCTAGATCATAGTTAAACCATGGAATTCACTGCCATAGGAACTATTAGCAATGACCATCAATTTGGATGGTTTTAAAAGGGGATCAGCCAAATTCACGGAGAAGGAAGACTATTAACTGCCTCTGTTATTAGAAAGAGCATGCCTACATATGCCAGTTGCAGAGGAACTTGGGCAGGTGGAACTCTTGCACCCGTCCTGCTGGAGGGATCCTGTGAGCAGCTGGTTTGCCACTGTGACCAGTCTGATCCAGTATACTTTTCTTATGTTCTTGGGAAGTGTTACCTCACCGTCACTGAAACCTGGTCAAAAAGAAATCTGCATATATTTCCACACTTAGGATCACAGTCTTGGTTTTAGCAGTTGGCACAGGCTGCAGCAATGAGGTGACAGGAAGAGAACCTATTCTTCATACTGAAAGGACCAGTGTAGCCTAGCAGGTGGAGTGTTGTACTGGGGCTTGGAAGATCCGGGTTCTAGTCCCGACTTGGCAATGAAACTCCTGCCTGAAAACATTAATTCAAGCACAGGTATCTGTTCTGTATCTTCTGCAGTGAAGAAAGCAGAAAATAATTCCTGCAGCTTCACTGCATCTCATCTTCCTTTAATACTTCCATCTGCCTTCCTGAGTCGCTTTGGGTTCCTTGCAAGAGTGGAATGTTAATACTATTATTAATAGCTAACAAGACATTGTTAATAGTAGCAAAAGAAGAACTATAATAGCCTAGAAAGAAATGTTTATTATTATTAATAACAACGATGGCGCTCCAAAATGAAAACGTCGTTTCGAGCCCATCGAAAACCACCAAAAACCACAAGTCTGAGTCCAGCAGCGCAAGTCAGGAGGAAACGGAGCTCCCCTCGCTCCCTCCCCGGCTGGCTGGGTGTGGCTAGAGGCGGGCGACCCGAGTCGGCGTCGGCGGGTGCCGGAGCGAGAATCGGAGCCCAGGGCGTGGCAGGCAGCGAGGCGCCCGAGCGTTTCCCCGCCATTGCATTTGCGGCGAGCTGCGTTCGCGTCTCCACCGCGTGTGCTCGGGAGCTCCGGTGAGTACCGGGGGAGGGCAGAGGGGGGGGGCGGGAGAGCGCGCGAGATCGCGGCTTGGAGGCTGAGCCGGGGCCGTGAGGCTGGAGGGCGGTAAAGGACGGAGTCTGTAGAAAAGCGGGGGCGAAAGGAGGATGCTCGATCGACGCCGAAGACTCGTAGAACTTGCACGGTGTCATAGCGCTGTTGCGCGGAAGAAGATTCTTTCGGCCTGCTGCTCCGGGTAGAGGAGAAGCCAGGGCAAGCAGGGGCGTCCTTGATTTGGGGCGTAGCTGCCGGCGGGAGTGTCCTGGAATCGGGAATGTTTTACTCCGGGTTCTCGCGTTTACACGGGCCTTCTTCTGGGAAGCTCCGGTAACTTACCTGCCTGCATTCTTTCGAGCGCACCGCGGCTCAACCCGATACTCTTGTATGCTCCTTTGCAGCTTGCTTTCTTCGCCTGATCAGTCACTGAAGCCATGGCAAAGGTGAGTTATACTTCTCGCTCTCCATTTATTGCCTTATTATAAATTAGGGGCAAAGGCAGCCCTTTTTGCAGGAAACGTATTTATTTGCGCCCGAGCCAACTTAGCAGCCCTCGGAGCGGACGTGCAGGCACCGCGGCGCTTTTATTTACCCTCCAACCTGGCGAGGTAGATCAGGTTGAGAATCAGCCAGTTAATATTCGTTCAGTGGTCAAATACCCTCTTTAAATTGTGGTGTTTTTAAAATGATACCCGTGGAAACAACTTTCCCGCAATTACGGTATTCATTCTAGGTCCTCTGTAATCACGGATGACATCTTCCACTCTTTCCCCAATTCTTATTTGTCCCTGCGTGGTGCCGAAGGGGGCGATTTGCCGTGAATGGGAACGTAGGGCGTACAGACTGTGGCGTGGGGACTTTCACTTCTGCTGAGACTTTCTTATTTCTCAATGCTAAATCCAGCCTCTATCCAGATGTTTGAGAGACTGAATCAGGAGCAGCATGAACTCATCCTGATCATGTGAAATCCACGTCAGACTTTTTCCATTTTTTTAGCCACGTTTCCTGCACTCAGTTGTGTGTGGGTGTAGCTCATTTCTAGTGGTTAAAAGGCCAAAAGAAATGTTGAAAATGGCCTGCTTCCATTTTTCATAATCTGTGCTCAGGTTTCCTGCTCACTATATTCATATTAAAAAAAAAAACAAAGTACTTTGAGGATTTTTTTTTTTTTTACTTTACATTCTTGAAGTGAATTCAAGGTATTCAAAATATCTTGGCAAGATGCTTTTCTTCTTGTGGGCAGGAAGAGAAAATGAGGACCAGATTCTGTGACTGGAACACCTAAGACTTTTTAATTTTACAAAAATCTTGGATTTCACAACCTGAATTGGCATGGCATTAAGGGGAAATTCTCTTTGCCCTTATCACAGCCCTAATGCAAGGTTTCTTCAAGTCTGCTGCTGGCTACCTAGTGGTGGAGGGAAATAGATGGGCTAAAGAGCTTAAGACTGTAAGTTCTCTCCACTGCTAATAGTAGCTCTGGGCCACTATTTGCATTGAAGAATTATAGCAGCTTCCTTCCTCCCACATACCACAGCCTTATTATAAATTGGGATGTCCTGGGGCCACTAACCCATTAACTAGCATTCTAGTCATAGAACTGGTATGTCAGATATAGGTTATTACATTCAGTGAAAAAAGACATTCCTTCAAACTCGTTGTGACTGGGAGGAGCACAACTTTGGAGCAGTGTACAACAGTACAAATGTTTGATGTTTTTCCCTTTGTTGTTTCAGCCTCCCCTGCCCCACTAACATAGGCTTTGTGCTACATCAGGACACGATTGTAGCTTGGACTCAAAACGATAAAAGCAGTTGTTGTCAAGGACAACCTTTCAGCCACCTACAGCAGGGATGCATAAAGTTGGGATCCTCCAGATTTTTGGCCTACCGTATTTGAAAGAGGTTAAGCAACTCTCCCCCCACCCAAAAGCTGTTTTGCAGTTTAAAAATAAAATAAAATTGGAAGACTTCCTGCCAACACCCTCCTTTCAAACTCACCTGCCCAACCATATTTTCTTAATTCATGGTAAAAAGTACAGGACTCCTAACTTTTTTTCCAAACAGATAGGGAAGTAAGGTAACTTCTGGGAAGAAAAATGATAGAGGGGAAAAATTGTTAAGGTTGCAACACTATAACCTCTTATTTGACAGGTAATTCCTATTCATTGGAATGGGATTTACTTCCAAATAAACATGTATAGGATTGCGCTCATCCCTTGCTCAGTTCTTCCCAGGCCACTTTTGTTCATGACAAATGCATGTATCACTTCCATTGGATCATTGTAACATTCATTGCAACAAATTGAAAAATATAAAAGCTATGAGAAATGGATAAACAGGAGCTGACAGCAAAGAATAGCATTATGCAGTCTTACCAAAGGTGCCCAGGATAGATCTATTACGAAAGTTGCCAGCACTTAGTATACGCTTGGTCTTGTTCTGTTGTTCAAAGTGGAACAAGAGGGACAGAACTGCAGTACACCATGGTATTGTGAGGTTCGTACCATGGCTGTCACATTATTTGCAGTACCATCCTCTAAGTGTCTAGAAAAACCTTCCTGTTGCAGTGTTTACCTGGTTTATTTTGTAACTTGAGGAGTTTCTTTGACCTGACTGACTTCCCTTTCCTAACAAAGCTGTCTCTATAGCAGCGCTTGCAGCTGGCATACGTACATGGGTGTGTGTGTTCAAATGTCAGCCGAAGAAACTAGGAAATGTAAGGTACAAAGTGTGCATCTGGGATGTTCTTTTTATAACAAAGTGGGCTCAAAGCTCTGTTGGACTGCTGCTTGTAGGTCCTATAAAGAGAAAAAAAAATCATACCATTATGTATCTTCATAGCCACCTAATGAGAAGGAACAACTCATTGGAGAAGTCTCTGATGCTGGGAACAATTGACGGCAAAAGGAGAAGGGGAGGGCAGAGGATGAGGTGGCTGGATGGAGTCACTGGGGCAGTGGGTGTGAGCTTGGGTGGACTCTGAGGGATGGTGGAGGACAGAAGAGCCTGGAAGAATGTTGTCTATGGGATCATGATGTGGCGGGCACAACTTTGTGACTAACAACAACCACCTTCATAGCAGATATGTTATAAATACGTTGTATTGTTGAGCATCTGAATCTCCCCTAGGAAGTAGTCCTAAGAGTACATACCTTTCAACCAGTTTAAAAACAGCTTTCCCTCATGCTGTAATTGGTTGTAGCTTGTATACCTACATCTTAACTTTTCAGACCAGGGCAGACTTGAAACAGTGCAATGGCTCTGTTGTTGCCCATGGTACACATGTGCATTTTCCCATGTGCCTGCTGTTTTTGGTTACACTGGGGGGAGGGTAAAATTTTTGAAGCATTGTGCTGGGGGATGAGGGCAGGGAAAAGTGGTTTGGGGAAATATGACCGGAGATAGCGCCTGCCAATGAAATTTTCACTGAAAACAGCAAGGTGTCTATATCAAATTATACATACGTGCAGTGGTACAAATTGGCCATAAACTAATACATATTTTAAAGCATAAAAACAGGCGTGCTAATGGAACAATGTCCAAACGAAAACTTTTCCTGCTCCCCATATTGTACCTTAATAATGAGGCCCAACTGTATGAATGCAACATCATGACGGAAAGTAAATGAGAGTTCTTGGAACAGTATGTGGATCATGCTACCGCTTCATACAGTTAGTTATGTGTAGCAGTCATGCAACTTTTCCACCAAACAGCAGTTTGGATGCAGCCAGGAAGAATATATCCACACATTTTGGGTGCAGTCCTATGCTTCTTTCACCTGAGCAGTAGGACTTTTTCCCTGTCTAAACTAGATAGCATTGCAACCTTAATCTTTTGATTCAGTCACTGAAGAAGACCATGGGTAGACTTTTATGTGTTCTATAGCAGATTGCTAGGAAATTTACTTCAGCTATTGAATCAATAAGTTAATAAATGTTGCAAAAGAGCAAAAAAGAGTGACAGATTCTTAAAGTATCTGCTTAGGAACTGAGGGTGCAGCTAAGAGCCAAAGTAGACCGAACATGAGAGACCAAGTATTTAGTTTAGATTTTTAAATAGTGAGAAACTCTAGAAGGCTGCCCTGTGAAGGAAGGAGTTGCATGATTGTTTCCCACCCTGTTGCTGCCTATTCTCTTGCCACCCACAGAAACGGAAAGACACAGTGCTCTGTATACTTCCCCCTCTATTTGGCAGAAAAAGAGCTAGACATTTTCTTAGTGGACAAGTGGCAGGAGGGGAGAAGATTAAGCAGTCCCTCTCTGGGGAATTTCCACTTAAACTGAAGACTTCCATAATAACTCTTCCTTAAAAATAAAACAGAAAACCTACACTGGGAAAATTTTTGAGCATTTTATCCATGTTGTCCTTTTTAATGTTTAGTTGGGTCCTAATTTGTTCTTTTCTCTCCTCTTTACACCAAACGTTTAGTCCTGGAGTAAGCAGATTAAAGGTCTCCATATATTTTGTACTACAACTTCCACGAGCTCCACTCTGCATGCTTAGAATAATAGAGGAGTAACATTGGAAGGGCCATGAAGGCCATTGGAGCCAACCCTCTGCTGTTACAGGACAACAAGTCACACCATCCCACTCAGATGGCTCTCATTTCTTTTTGAATGTCTCTAGTATGGGAGAGCCCATGACCTTACTAGGCAGCTGATTCTACTGTTCTGTTGTTCATATTAAGAAGAATTGTAGTCCAAGATTTCTGGAAGGCATACTGCCTTAGCCCATCTTTTTCCCAACACACCTTTTGCTCCCTGTCTTGCCTTAGAACACATATATGCAAAGGTCCTGATGGTAGACCCCCCCCCCCCAGCTCCCTGTAGTTTTATTTACATTGACCTGGTTTGCACATAATGACAACTCAACCTCTTTGTTGAATATTGGTAAAGGCTTGCTGTTGATTCCTCAGTTACCATTATGTATGAAACCTCAATTATTATTTAACAATAGGTTGTTACGCATAACAATCAAAGGACCCACAATTTCTTGTTGTGTTGGGAAGTTTGGGTTGTTTGTAGTTAAAAAGCAAAGTTAAACCATGATATAATGTTTGTGCATTAGGACCACCCATGAGTCAATAATAGCTTGTACTCTGTGTTGCTGTATGTGAACCAGGCTATAGTTTACATCATGGCAGATGTCCTGGAGAATGACACTTTTGGCTGACTGGCAGTTTTCCAGTGAGGAGGCAGCCAGATCTGAAACATCTGGGCCTTTCTCTTGAAAAATCTTATAGCTTACTGTATCTTAATCACTTCTACTGTCTCTTTTACCTGAAGGATGTGCATTACCAAGCGGAACATGCATGTACTTGTGAGATGAGATCCGCAGATGATAAAAAGTTTTCAATGGGGATTATTTGTGCATGAGTGCGAATTTATTGCAACATGCTGCATGCTGGATTGATCATCGTCATTGTATGCTTCCCTCCCATGTGATATCTCCCCACTACACCAAAAAAGCACAACACTGTTTGAATTTTCCAATATTCATGTCGTGATAAGATCTAGGCATCAGGTTCATAGCACCCACACAAACTCTGCGTAAGCCTTTCCGGCTACATAGGGTACCGTAGGAAACTTCCAATTTGAATAATGAATAATCTGGATTTTCTTCCCAATTGTAATGTTGTAAGTGCTACATGTATCCTTGTAATATAAACTAATGAAGGGTTAAAAGAGAAGGTGACTAAGAAGACTACTGTACATGTAATGTCCTTTTTATTTTTATTTTAAATTAAGGAATAATCCTATTTATGTTTAGACAGAAAAATGTCCTACAATTCCCTGCATGCTCCAGCTAGCATATGTCCCTAGTTAGTTTGCAATAATCTGTTGATTAGTCAAATTCTAAAGCAAGCTGGAGAAGAGGATTATGAAATTAGTTTTAACTTGGAGCCCTCTTTATGTATCCAGATCCTAACAATGGAAAGGATATGACAATATTCATGAAGGATATGCCCATGGTGGGCATGTCATAAGTGAAGCCAGCTGGAGCTGGGGGTCAGACTAGATGGCCCCAGGGTCCCCTTCTGACTCTCCATTTCTATGTTTTTATGGTTCTAATATGCATGTCAGTTACACTCAGCTCCCCAGCCCTGCCCTGCCCGACTCTGGCCTCACTATATCAACCTAGGATAGGTAGATGCTTGTGCATGAGCTTTTCTATTGCAAAAACACATTTCTGCTCAGTATATTCTAGTCCTGTTATAAGGAATGAATTGGGCCAGATCTTTTTGGCAAACTGTTGGTAGTCATGGACACATAATTTTCATGGTTCCAGGCATAAGGCCAATGTACCCTGAATTGGCCTTTGATTTGGCTAGTGTGACCAAACTGCAGTTTGTTAAAGCAGTGTGATTTTTCTTCTAGTACACAAGAGGTACCGTGAAGGACTTCCCTGGCTTTGATGCCAGAGCAGATGCTGAGGCCCTTCGTAAGGCAATGAAAGGCTTGGGTAAGCATTAGTTGTCTTATAAACTGGAACTCCTATTCAGAAGTTTGTGCCCTTCCATATGTGAAGGGTGAAGTGAGGATCAGTCTGTTGGCCCTGTTCCTCCTGTGACATCCTCACTACTCATCCCAACAACCTTCCACGCAAAAGAAAAGTAGCTTCTCCAGTGGAGAGACTCTGCATTATATGGAATTCTGATCCACTCCCCACTTCATGCATATGAGGTGAACTTCTGAATCAGGTTAGAAAGTGTGTTACTTACATATTGAGTAAATTTGGGTCATGGTTTGGTTCTTGCTTCTTTCCCATTATTATTATTATTATTATTATTATTATTATTATTATTATTATTATTATTAGGTTTCGTGAAGCCTAAGTGCTGGAAACTGAATCCAATACTCTAACCACCATACTACACTGGTTCTTTGATGTAGTATTCGTAAATTGATAATTAGCATAAGAAAGTTAAGATGATGTATTGAGAATAGTGATCACTCAGTTTTCATGAATGCTACTACAAGAAGAACTATTAATACTTGATTGAGAATTCAATCACTGTGTAGAATTTTTCAGAATACAATGGAACTCTTGTTTGGGGTTATGGATTAATAATTGGCCAGGTTTTTTATTGGCATTCTTGAAATTTTAATGATCTTTTCAGTTTGTCGTCTTAACTTTTGCTTATGTAACTACTGATGAATAGAGGTTAAGTAAAGTCCAGAAGAGAAAACAGAGCTCTCTGCCAAACATGTAGCTCTTGAGGGCTAAGCCAAAATGGAGAGGGAAAGGTCAAAACGTTTCATGAGGATGTGTGCACCTGTGAAACGAATGCCCCATTTTGATTTATTACTCTGGGGTCCCTAATAAAATGGGCAAAATGTTTGTTCATTCAAACAATGAATGAGCAGGAAGTATTGCTTTCATTCTAATTTGACTGCATGGTGTCGCCATGTGATTGACTATATGGCATTGTTGGCAAGTGCGGGTAATAGTCTCTCTGATTTGGTGTTGTAACATTGGTTGCCTATGCAATACCATAGTAGGATTATCACAGGAAGAAGCTTGTTGTGGCGTTTGTTTTTACATGGTGCTGAAGCTGTAAATCAGGTAAAACAACCAGAAACAGGTTGCTTGAAAAAGGTAATGGGGGACATGAAATTTTCACCCTCCTCAAATATTCCTCTTGGCACAGACAATTGCATGGACAAAAACAGGGTTTAACCCTACCAATAATACATAATTCCAGTAGTGTTTTCTACCTAAGGGTGTTAAAAATAAAATAATGGATTGTAGAGTGTAAAAAGCCAGATCGCAGATAGCAAAGTTATTTATTCTGCAAGCCTATGTTTGTTTAGACAGAAAAAATCCTACAACTCCTAGCATACAGTTTTTTCTCAGTAACAAAGGATTGCTGGAAAATGCACGTTGATGCATAATAAAGTCTATTTTCAACATCTGATTGTTGACTAATTTGCAAATGTTGATATTCATCTTCTTGCAAGAAGTCACTGTATTTAATTTGTATAATTTAAGGAACTGATGAAGATACAGTCCTGAAGATCCTAACCGGCAGAAGCAATGCTCAACGTCAGGAAATTGCGGTGTCTTTTAAAACCTTATTTGGCAGGGTAAGGTGATTGCTTTGAGTTGGGAGTTGGTGTGTATGTGCTTACTTATCCATATCATTTGGATTTTGTGATGAATAATAATTTTGATCTAGAGTTTACATGTTCTTTATTACTTCACATTCTCTTTTCAACCCTGACCTCCAAGATACACACTCTTCTTGAACTTTTCGTTCATTCTAATTACGTTCTGGTTTGGATAATACGAGATTTAATTTTGAACTTAAATTATTTTTAAAATAATTTAAAATTTTAAATTATTTAAATGTTTAAATCATGTTTTTATTAATTAGGCTTTCTTACTTCTTTCAAATAGGATCTTGTCAGTGACCTGAAATCGGAACTTACAGGCAAACTTGAGACTCTGGTGGTGTCTCTAATGAGACCTGCCCGGATTTTTGATGCCCATGCACTGAAGCATGCCATTAAGGTAAAATTGGGTCTATTTTTTCTAGTACTGAGTTTCCCTTCATTATCAGATTTCCTGTTGTTAATTAATCTACTTGATTATTTATGGTGCTTACTTTAATTTTAATTACTTCACTGATTTTCACGTTTTTAATGGCTTTTTGAAGAAAGAACATATAATGTCTGGCCAGTAGCATGTGGGCAATAAAGCTGCGCATGCTGCAACTTGAATTTTACAGTTACAATGAGTCCTTCAGTGTAAATGCTCCTTGTACGTTAAATTTATGATTGAACCTTTGTGTATGGTGTTCTGCTTCCAGTGGATTCTTTTCAGTGGCTACTAACAACTTTGACTTTGACTTGTGAGTAACTGCTTTCTGTGCAAAGCTCTTAGGGTGAAAGGAAGTAGTTAGAAAAATGCACAAGTGGAGCCCTGCTGCATCAGAAGAAAGTTCTGTTGAGTCCAGCATCTTGTTCTACTAGTGGTCAATCTCTGGTTGAAATAAATTGCCATCGGGTGCATTAGGTCCCATCATTGCAAGCTTTTAAGAAGGCCCTAAAAACATATTTTACTTCCGGACTGATGGAAGTTGACATTCAAAACATCTGGAGGGTGTCAGGTTGGGTAAGATTGTTCACACTTTGCAGTTTTTCTTTGAACACATTTAATAACATCTTTCAAATTAAGTATGGAGCTTGGGCAAGGTTGGAAAAAATCATCTGAATATTCCTAGAACCTTTAGACCAGAAAATGCTGAACTAGTCTGCTGTTAGTGAGTTGATAGGGACAGAACCACCAAGGATACTTTGAGACAAGGTTTCCATTCTGTAGTTACTCTGCCATGTTCATGGATAATGTCTGTTTCAGTTTGTAATATTCTTATCTTTCCAGTTGGGGTTGTTGTTGTTGTTGTTTCATTCTACAGAACATCCTTTAAGGAGGGAAAGATGGAATAGCTGCACAATATTTCTTAATTGATAGTTCTGGGAGCTGCCCATTTGGTACGGTCACTGAATCAGTGTCCATTTGGTACAGAAGAATTCAGTTATGTAAACAGCTAACATTCGAGTGGCTTAACTGATCTGTAATCTAGCCAAATAGTGATTTTTTTCTCTTCAGTTTGGAATTTGGAGGAGCAACATGAACTGTGATGTTTAACTTATTGGGCTGGCTGAGTAAAGCAAAGCCTATGATTTAATGTTGATTCTAGTGAAAAAATCGATAAGAAACAAGGACAAGAATTGGAAAGGCAGTTCTGATAAGATGTTATTTCTTTTTCTTCCTGCTTCAGATAACAAATACCTTTTGCAAGGGGTTTTTTTTTGCCAGACGTTTTGTGTTAATGATTAAAGATCATGGTTATATTATCAATCTGTGTAGCTAGACTCCTCATGAAAGCGACCATTGATGGTGTCCGTGCCGCTCACCTTTGCCCCTGAGACCAGGACTACATATTTGGCATCGTACTTCAGTCTCAGAATTCACCTCTCTGCAAAAACTTCTGGAACCTTCACAGGGTGAATAGCAGAGTTGAACCTGGTTAGCTGAAGAACCATTGTACCTTCATGATCATGTCCATGAGGCCATAAACACAAGACAGGCTTCGTTGCACATTATCCTGCTAGGTGTGCGGATAGGGAGGTGCAGTCAGGCCTTTTCAGGAGCAGTTCTGAAATGTACTTCCTACAGCAGATTTCCTCAATATTGTGCCCTTCAGATGTTGCTGGCCTTTAAGTGCTGCCATTCCTGGCAGCATGGGAATACTGGCCAAGGATGATGTGGGTTTTAGCCCAGCACATTTAGACAGCATCAGGTTAGGAAGGCTGTAAATGAAGAGTTGGCTTGCTGCTTCTCTTTGTGTCTGTTCAGACTATATTCTCCTCCCCTCTCTCTCTCTCTCTCTCTCTGTCTCTCTGTCTCTCTCTCTGTCTCTCTCTGTCTCGTGAACAAAAATTTCATAAAAACTTTGACTCAGGTCCATATTGGGTGGCGACTGTGATCGCGGCCTTCTCCCCGCCCCCCCCCCCCGAGTGGGGAGATGGCCACAATTGTGCTGGAGGTGGGGTGGGGGGAGATGGCCAAGATCATGCCCATCTTTCCTGCAGGAGCACAACCGTGATCTCGGCCATCTCCCTCCATCAAGATTGCACCCATCTCCCTCCCCAGTGCACCAAAGTTTGCACCTGTCTCTCTTTTCCCCAGTGTGCCTGTGATCGCGCTGTCTCTCCCCCCGCCCCCAGCGTGCCGGGATGACGGGAGCTTGCAGGGGTGACGGGCGCAATCTGTGCTTATGCTGTGGTGGGTGGGGGAGTGGAGAGATGGCCGTGCTTGTGTGCGGGGTGGTGGTGGTGGGGAGAAGGCCACAATCTTTGTTGTTCTTTGCCACTTTGCTTCACATTTGTCTGATTAAAAAAATAGTTACAGAATGGATTAACCTTATTTACATTGAACCTTAGGGGAAATTTAACTTGGTTCACAACCAATTTGGGTCATGACCAGAGTCCTGGAACGGATTAAGTTCGTGAGCCAAGGTACCACTGTGTGTGTGCGCACACGCATGTGTGTGTGTGTATCTTGTCCATTGAGAGTTGGCACCCATCCCCCAAAAAGAAAAACCATTGGGCCTTTTGTGCTTCTTCACTCTATTAGTTTTCTTAAGATGCTTCCAGACACCAGGATCCTAGCACTACCAGTCACACTACCTTGTGCAGCTCTTCTGTTGCAACTTTTTGAATGGTATTCTTGTGCTAAAAGGAGGGAACAGTAGGAAAACATGGGAAGGCTATAAGCTGGATGTCGCTGCTTGAAGCTCTGTGAATGAAGCAGGGCATTTGTACAATAAAAGCTTCACCTGGAAGCACTCTTATTTGTCATTAAGAATTGTTGATGTAAGCTATTCGAAATGCCATGCCTTAGACGAGAGAAAGAGAGACTAGAAATGGTTTTATAAATAAATGATCAGAATGTGCCTGGTGAAATGAGGTTACTGGGGATAAAACAGAGAAAGCTTAAGCACTTCTTCCCACTGCTGCTTCCGTACCTTCTTGCTCTATTATTCAGTGGAGATTCAGATTTCCAGACTTGGCTCTGTAAATGAGCCTGTAGCTCCAGACTCTGCAAATGAGCTTGTTGCTGAAAATTGTTGAATAACAGCCCCGTGGTGTAAAACAGGTACTTGAGCCTCCATCACATGGCCAACTTCTGCACATATTCAATCAACCAGCATTTGCCCAACCAATCAAACTAATAGTAGGAATTTGCCCTTGGTGTTACATATTCCTGTGCACTCAGCCAGAAGCATTTTTATTTTGGAGTAAACAATAAGCCAGTACATACATTAGACCCCAGTAATTTTAACATGCTTTATTTGACTATAGGTCTCACATTTATTGACTGAACAGGTGGGAACAGGCTGTCCATTTCATGTCGGCTGTGCTTGCATGATCTGGTAATCCATCATGCTGCGTTGCTGTGCTAAAGAAACTCACCCTGTTTCCTGCAGGGTGGCCTGTTTTGGCACTTGTTGTGGTTCCTTGGCAGCTGTCACAAACCCCTTGCAGCTGGGTGGCCTTGGAGTGACTGAGGGCCACAATGGGAGGGCACTCCATTTGCTCTGTCCTGTTCTGGCACCTCTGAGGTGGTTGCTTTTAAATAATCTCTGTGAAATTTGCACATTTTTCCTGATAGTGAAATATATGCAGATTTCAAGGCTGGAAAGTAAATGGAGAGAAGTATAATGCAAATTTCTGTTTACTAGCTTTGAAACCAGTGTATATTACGCTGTCAAAAATGCCCAGGTTTTTTTTCCTTCCTCTTTCTGGAACAGCTTGTTACTTACGGAAGTGTGGAAAAGGTGGAGTACACTGAGAATTGTCAGTTCAAGTCCTAAAATCATGAGAATTGCATTACCAAGTGTATGTAATTCTCCCCACCCACATTTTTGGTTCCTTACTTTCAGCACTTTTCTGCTTTACCAGTGATTTTCAGTTGATAGTTAGGCACTTGATCTCTGGCAGCTGTGTGCAAATTAGACTGAATGCAGTCTTTCCTTGTCAAACCTGCTCCATTTTGTTTTTATCATCTGAAGCAATTTGACCATGGAAAGACTCCACATATTGAACAGTTGTAAGTGCTTACTTGAGAAAGAACATTAGAACTAGCATTTATTTTAAAAATTCAAAATCAATTGTGCAATTTTGAGATACTGATTTCTTTTCAACTTGAGAAATGAATGCTGGTCTTTCCCAAGTGCCATTTCAACATAGGTGGGCAGATAGTTAGTTATTGGTGAGACCCTGAAAGTGAGTATCAAGATGTTTTGCTTTTCCTTTTGAGTAGCTTTGCAGCCATTCCTGACAACCTATAATGAAAGTCACCCTACTGAGTTTGGATGACAAAGTAGAAACTTCTTTTAAAAGCTACATTATTAGCAGATATGCTATTTTCTGCTTATATTTACTACTTGTATTAATCAGTCTGTAGTAGCTAGCGAAATAGCAAAGCTCTCAAATCCATCTCCTATTTGTGTCTGTTACAAGCTTTGTTGGAGGAAAAAGAGACAGGAAGAAAGATGAGGGTAGAGGCGAGTATGTGACTTCCTGTGAATGGTAAAGGAAATGCTATGGGCTCCTTATCACTGCACTACAGCTCTAAGTTTTCCATCTTGTAGGATTACTGACAATAGAAGGGTGACCTTCATACTTTTTGAATGAAAACCAGCCACTCTGCAGTCTTTTGGGGGAGAGGAGGTTTTTTTTTTTTTTTTAAGTTTTATTAAAGGGATAGTGTCACAGAAACATCTATTTCAGTTGTTAACTCTGCACAGATTTCCTGTATGAGTCAGTATGAATGCTGTTTATGCAATATCATATATATTATTAGTCATGTGATACTCAAGAAGCAGAACATGGTAGTCTTGAGCATTATGGATTTCTTTCAAGTACACTGATGCTATGTGAACCATTCTAGAATTAAATATTGGTGCAGAATAATCTTCATTTTACTACATAGTAAAATAGAGAAGTGGCTCTAAAAAGCACAACATTTTTCTTCCCAGTACTTCAATCTGTAGGTTCTACTAGCCATGTGTATTGAGCAGAAATAATTCATCAACTGATTACATTGGTTGCAGGGTGCAGGAACTGATGAAAAAGTCCTAACTGAAATTCTCGCATCTAGGACACCTGCTGAGATCCGGAATATAAAGAAAGTTTATCAGGAAGGTAAAATATAGCATCATGTTCTTTTAAAGATGGCTATATTTGATAGAACCTTTTGAGAAAGTGAGATATTAGTCTATGGGGAGCAGAAAATATGTAGAATATGTTATCAGTTCAGCTCTTGCTGAGATGTATGTTGTAAAAGCTGTTCTTACATATTTTGGGTCCATGTACAAGTGTAGGGATGGGGCCACCTAGAATTTCTTCCTGCATGAAAGTAGTTCAAATTTTGTTCAGTGGTGGATGTGTCTTCTGTTTTTTGCAGAATATGAAGCCGACTTAGAAGAGCATATAACATCAGACACATCTGGTTACTATCAGAGGATGTTGGTAGTTCTTCTTCAGGTAAGTTTCTATGGTACAAGGCTTGAATTAAAATTTGAGGAAAATTTGTTTCATTTTATAGTTTTTTGACTCTAGTGTATATGTGGATTAATTTGATCCAAACCTGATTTGCATGTGGGTGTTTGCCTCTTTAAGATCTGGAAGCTTTGAGTGGTGCAGAATGTAGCTCCCCAAGTGTTGGTGGGGGTGAGCTGATGGGATCATATAACTATATCATCTTCATTGGGTACTGGAGTGTTTCTGAGGACAAGGTGCTGTTTTGGATCCTTTAAAGCCTTAAAACAGTTCAGGACCAGACTAATTGAAGGGGCACCGTCATTCATATCACAGTTGCCCACTTTTGTGTGGGTACAAAAATTGCTGCATCATATGGCACTGGTTTTTATAACAAGTATAGGAATTTTGATTCATATTTTTATTAACCTACTTGTATGTTAATCTGTTACCCCATTTAGGCTAACAGAGATCCCGATGGCCCGATTAATGAGAGCCTAGTTGAGTCAGATGCTCAGGTAGGTGGCAGCTCCCTTTGCCTTTCTTTCATGAAAGTGCTTAAATAGCTTTGTAATGGATCAAGCAAGTGGGAGTTCATCTTAAATGTATGTTTCATTATGGAAAATATATTTTCAACCCATGTGATTATATGTGCATTATGAATCTTGAGGGTAAACCTTCTCTGAGAATCCATGATTTTCAGGTATTCTTCTTTCCCGTTTATAAAGAATACTGTTGTTGCACAATTACCATATTGCAAAAAAACACTGGTTGGGATTAGTGCTGGTGCCAAATGGCTTTAGAAACATTGAAACTGAGTGAGTCGGAAGGGGTCTCCAGGGCCATCTAGTCTGACCCATGGGGTCAGACTCATGATATGCCTGCCATGTGCTGCTATGTTTTCTGAGTGTCATGTTTTCATTCTTAGGCTGTTTAATGTGGAGGCATTTCAAGGGTATTTTTTGTGGTGGATGGGAATCCTGTGTGTGTGTTTCTTTGTGGGGTGGGGGAGAGAAGGAGTTGAGGAAATCCTAAAATACATTGAAATTCTATTGGAATGGCAGCCATCCTCCTTTTTTGTTTTCCTGGGAAGACCTTTTCATCTGGCATTTGTTGAAGGAGAAATGGCTTTTGTAAAAATATGGTGACACCTGTGGATGTGTTGGACAGAAATGCCCATCATTCCTAGCCAGCCATTGGCTGTGCTGGCTGAGAAGGATTGGAATTGATGTTCAACATCTGGAGGGCACCCAGTTGGGGAAGGCTGGTATGTGTCATACTATCCATATTACTCATTATTACAGGGAAGGTGGAGTACTACAACTGCTTGCGTAATGCAGTTCCAGAGTAATTATAGTTCTGATCCTGCCAGACATAGACACAGCTGTCTTAGGAATCTTTCAGAAACAGATGTTTCTGTGCAATGACCTTTTCCATGGCTCTCCTTTTTGTGTCTGCTCTGAGTTAGTTTCCAAACAGGAAAAAGGAGGGCTAGTAACTAAACAATGACTTAGGTCATACTGTAATTTAGATCAGCCTGGCTATGAGATTCATTATATTAATCCTAGCTGATTCCTCATAAGATGTTTGCATGAAATCTTTTGCAACTCAAATAATTTTTCAATAGATGCATGAAAACGCTAGGTTTCATACAGAAAAGGAAGCAAAAGGGGAAGTGGCATGTAGGATCAGTATTGACACGCTAGATTTCTTGAGAATAATAGGAAGTGTGCGATGTACACTTGCCAACTTGATGCTAACTTCTGTAGGCATGATGAGAATTAGTTACAGTTAAGCCACAGATTTGACTCTGCAAAATAACAAGAAAGCTGACCATTAATTTAATCGGTGGTTTAAGTAATATTCTCTTCCCATGAAATTAAACTGCATGTTGGAGCTGTCTGCATGAATTTCTTGTTCTTACAAGCAAGTGGAACTGCAGGTCTTCAGAAATGGGTTCTGCTAGTTCAGAAAAGATGGAAGAGTTAAGTGGCAATGGATTACTTAATGATTTCCTTTGAAAGGCCATATTATTCTAGGTTGGAAATGTGGGAGTAATCTTTATTGCAAGAATGGTTGCCCCTTGAAAACAGCTCACCCAAAGCCAGCCATGCATTTTGCCACTTATTGGAACGCCTCATTCATTCTGAATAAATGGCAAATGGCATTTCCCCCTGTGGTGTACTGTATTTTTCGTTCTATAAGATGCACCTGACCATAAGACGCACCTAGTTTTTAGAGGAGGAAAACAAGAAAAAAAATATTCTGAATCATATGGTTTACTAAACTATTTAATAACCTGTAACAGAATACAGTAATACCGTATTTCAACCTTGTAAAGTGAACCGCAGTCAACAGTGGCATTAAGAACCATCATCACTGTCATTAACAAAAGAGAGACTTTAAAGTTCGAGTACTCTTCTAGTTTTCGTTGAACCCATAGAACTCATCATCGCTAGAGTCAGAATTTATGAAGCTCTGTTGCTCACAATCACTGACATCACTTTTTTAATCAGTAGTGGAATTATTGAAGGAATCCACAGTCTACACCAGTTATACAAGAGCTGCTGCAGACAATTCAATAACAAATCTAAAAAAGCCAGTAATGTCCACGCTGCCCTACTAGTAAATAATAGAAAAAAACTTCTGACAAAAAAATGAGATATTGTACGGTAAATCAAACACACAGCGGACTAAGTAGCCTTTGAAGAATAAACTTCATACACAAAGGTAATGCTGTTCAGATATCCACTGATCCTAAAAAAAAATGTGTCTGATCAACTAACAGATATTGGTCCTTCTATTAACTTAATAAAACAGGCACCGTTCTGATCCATGGAAAGCTTCCTGATAATCACAGGAACATTCCCCATCACTTCCCCATGGGCTTCATTAAAAGACAGGTTGCCATTTGAAAACACACACCGACCTGTGATTATCAGGAAGCTCACCTGGGGCGGGGGGCGAAGCAGGGTGCACCGAGCACGTGCCGAGAACATGCCGGCCAGGTGGTGCAGGCGGGCCAGCAGCATCCCAGCAGTGGTATTACATGTCCCGGGCGTCGGGCACACCATGCTGCACATCTGACAGACTTACTGCACACACATATTCGCTCTATAAGACGCACAGACATTTCCCCTTACTTTTGAGGGGCGGAAAAGTGCGTCTTATAGAGCGAAAAATAAGGTAATTAGAAAAAAATGATTTGCAGGTACACTGAAACTTGACTCTGCAGATACCATCAATTTAGAGTTTTGGCAAACATGATCTGTACCTTCTGTGTCAGCCTGCTAGCCAGGGAGGAAGAGCGAACAGATATTGTAAAATGGGAGCTGTGTGGAAGCCCCCAAATGAACAAAAGCAGCAGTGCTAGTTGTGTAAGAGAGAGTTCAAAGGTTATCTGGCAATATGGAATGCAGTTACATTTTAAGTCTGTTCCAACTTCATAAGGCACAGTCTTGTGTATATTTAGGCAGAAAAAAGGTCCTATAACTCTGCATGCTGGGAATTGTAGTGACTTTTCTGTCTACCTATGCACAGGATTATACCTTGAACTGCTTTGCTGTTCAGTATTTTCACCTCTGATGGCTTTATTCAGAAAACAGAAAAACTTTCATATCTGCGTTACGGAGATGAAACTTAACTTTGTTTTTACTTCTGATTATAACAGGAACTCTTTCGAGCTGGTGAACTAAAATGGGGAACAAATGAAGAAAAGTTCATCACAATCCTGGGTACTCGAAGTGTGGCTCACTTGAGGAGAGGTGAATAAGTGTGTTAATGCCTGTTAATCAGTTCATCTGTTGGGTTTCACTCAGTGTTCACCCTAAGCCTTCTACATAAGATTCTCTGCTTGGAGCTGCATCTCTTATCCACTTCTACTATCTCTAAGGACCATTTCACACAGTAATGATTCCAGACTTGCCACTGAATGTATCTGTGACAGACTCAGTGATGATATCTGTTGCATTTCCTCTCTTATCTTTTAAAGGAAAATATCCACAGGTGCACACCTGAGGCAGATAATTCCACAAGTAAACAGAGAAAGAGAGAGAGACCGTAGGGACCTCCTGGGCCATCTAGTCTGACCCTCGGCTCCAGTCAGCTCTGCTCATTACATGACTACTATGCCTATCAAGTAGCTTCCTCCCTTCTTGGCAATACAAATACAACCACAATAATCTACATAAGTAGATTTCCCTCAGTTTACCAGAGGTAGAGCCAACCCTAACCCACTGACAAGATGTGATGGAATACAACAATATGCAGTCCTCCACCTTAACTCTGAAGCACATTGGTTCTGGGAGGACTGTACCATATGTGTTTTTCTGAATCCATGGTTCAGAACCTGAGACCAAATCCAACAACCTGAGGATTCTCCAAAAGGCCACACCCCTTTTCTTCTGCTGATCTGGCAGCTTTTCAGGTTTTGCACGGTCTTTTTCCTTTTTCTAAACCTTGAAATGGCTGCCTTAAAACCTAGTTACCGGCAATAAGAATTTTAAGTTTAAAATATGTTGGTAGCGCTCCTTTTGACTTTGGCTCCAACTGCAGTCCTCAAGATCTTCTCCAAAATTGAATTTGGTGCTTTGGCTGAAAGAGGTTCCTCACCCCTTTTCTAAATGTTTGGATTTATTAGGACTGTGCCATGTCCATACTCATATGTTGAGAAATGTGCCTTGTCTTTGTGTCCCTTCATTCTGAAACCTTCCTGGTGGTGACCACCAGCTATAGAATGCTCTCTCCAGGGAAATTCAACTGTGCTAACTTGGCTTTCTTTCTGTTGCCAGATTAGATTACTTTTTTATTCTTCTAGGCCTTTTTGTGGCTCTGATTTCTACTCCACATTAAAAACATTTTTATTGGGTTGATTTTGCATTGCATTTTTATTGGGTGAGTTTTTGAATTGATATTTGTATTGGTTTTGTATTGCTCTGTATTTAAATCTTGTGTTTTACTGTTTGCTTTTAAAACACCTAGAAATTCTGTTTTACAGGCCTCTTATAAATAGATAATGAAGTAGACATAATTGCCATATATCTATTTTGGTTTTCCAGTCTTTGACAAATACATGACGATCTCTGGCTTCCAGATTGAAGAAAGCATCGATCGTGAAACATCTGGTGCACTAGAGAAACTCCTTCTTGCAACTGGTAACTGGCAGTCCTTTCAATTAATAAGACTTACAGGCAAGCTCAGGGGTGGGGTGGGGAGGCTGGAGGAAGAAAATGAGATACAATGGTATATTGATTATCCTATTAAGAACCTGAAAAATGATGTTACAGAGAAGATGAACATGTTGACATGAATTGCAGATTTCTGACTGCTCATGGAAGTAGCAGTATGAACCTGCGCACATCTGCTGGGATGTAATCCCTCTGCATTTCCAGGGATTTATCAGCTGGCTGTACATAGAATTGCAGCCTGGGTCATTGTTTTGTCTTGTCTGAGTTCCACTCTGAATATGATTTATTATATGGCTTCAATTTCTGATTCTGATTTTTTTGCCAGAAAGTGAATGAATGTCATTTGTATGACACATGTTGCCATTAGGTCGAAGTAATGTTTCCACTGCATTTTCAAATTCAAATGCATTGTTTTTGTTCCCTAGTGAAGAGTATCCGAAGCGTTCCTGCGTACTTTGCTGAATCACTCTTTCGCTCAGTGAAAGTGAGTACTTTATCTTACCACCATTATATTCATTTGCACCAAGTGTGCAATTCAGGCAGTCCACAGTTAACCCTGTTTGGCTCATTTTCCTGGAAGCGAACATTTTGGCTACTTGACAGCCCAATCTATGCATGGGACTTACTCCTAGGTATGTGTGATTTTGGCCTTAATTTACTGTTTGAAATCTATGAGAAAGAAGATGCACCAAATGCAGAGCTGAAACAAACTGCCAGTGGCAAAAGGCTGGATTTCTAGTCCTTTTAATGCCAGATTTATGTGAGCATTCAGAAGTTTCAAAACCAGAATAAGGTATTGACTGATGGGTGGTCCTGGATGAAGGAATGAGACATATATATCTCTTGAGCTATGGTACCCTAAGAGTATAAGGGACAGGCAAAACTTTAGCTTACAGGATATATTTCAGAGATGTGATTTTGTTGAAATCCCTAAGGTACAAAAGGGGACCTCTGGAAAAGGACTTCTAAATGCAGAAAAAGGGTGCCTGTGAGTACAGGATCAGGCCAGTACCAGCACTGAAGCTTGCAAACAAATCAGTTCATACACACACAGATTATTTAGCTTGCCCTATTTTCCGCCCAAAATGGCATTCAAGACAGCTAGCAATGATATAGATTAAAAACAAGATCTTAATTACAAAATACAACAGTATGTATTAAAAAAATAAAAACACAACTATGAAAGAGACAGCAATTTCTCCCTATGCTTTCTTGAGATCTGCAGCCTAAATTAGAAAGAGGACTTAAAATATATATAAATTCTTGAAATATATTTAATATTTATAAGTATCCTGCGTAACATTCTTAAACAGCTTTATACATTCTTTGCTTAGTGCCTTGTTTAAAAATTCAGACCTGAAGTTTTTTTTTCCCCTCACTGACTTTAGCAGGAAGAACTAAGCAATGGTATTGGGAAGTGTTTAACCTTTGACTGGATTGTGGTCTTAATGCATTTTTAGAAATAGATTGCTTTTTGTTTTTCCAGGGAGCAGGCACGGATGATGATACATTGATCAGAATCATGGTTTCAAGGAGTGAAATTGATCTGCTGGACATCAGGAAGGCATTCCGAAGGGATTTTGCCAAAACCTTGTACCATGTCATTCAGGTGGGCCTCATGCTGGACAGCTACAGCGTTACCTCAGAGAATCACTCTGAGGTTGGAGCACCTCCCTCCCCCAACTGTAGCCAGTGTGGAATAAAGTGTACCAACTGCTTCCCTGAGGTCACAGATATCTCAGAAAAGGGAAGAGCCCCGTGCCACCACAGTATCAAGTACACCAATGGCTCCCTTGCACTCTGGAGCTTGATGCTTAGGCAGCAGAAGCTGGCTGGCCATCTAAGTATTTTGCAGCACAGAATGAGCATGAAGAAGTGCCCCTTGCCTCCGTGCTCCTCCTGCCCTGCATTGAATGCCTGTAACCCTCAGTGTCCCGGATTGGATCGCACACAAAAGCAAGTTCCCTTCATTCTCTTGTTTGAATGGCACATTGCTGGCTCACGTGGCCTTTTCTGTTAAGATAAGGAATCATTTCTTTGTAATTGTCCAAGAAATGTGATTTTCTTTCCAAGAACTGTTATAATGAACGAACATTTTCTAATAGGGAAAACAAGTTCACTTCCTACCAGTGGCTTGAGGCCAATATTAGTCTAGATTAAGCCCAATTCATTTGGGTCCATTCTAACTAGGACCAACATAGGAAACATGTGCTCAGTCCACAGTCATGAAGCAGGTAGGCCACCAAAGTATGTGCTACATTAAATTGATTTGTGTAGTGAGCATCTTATCTTGGAAATAGAATTTTATAATGGATAGCTCTAGCAAACTTCTTTGAATCCTTTTTGTAATGATTAGCTTATGCAAGTGGAAGATAAGTAGAACTGGTTTTGCTTCACAGATTTTTGATATTCTGCAAAAACCAAATAGCCTTGCTAGTAGAAAGTCATACAAAGTCATTTCAGGGGTGGAACAGCTGCCTTTTGTCAATAATTTCTCTTGGAGTCATTCCTGACTCATTCCCTGTTTTCTGATTTGTAGAAGGATACTTCTGGCGACTACAGGAAAGGCCTTTTGCTCATCTGTGGTGGTGAAGATGACTAACCTCTTCAGTGACGTGGAGTACAGAATCTTACCTCCTGCTTTGTGCCTCCCTCCTCCTGTATGGCTAAGCCAGGGGCATTTAGACCCGCTGCTGCCTTTGCAATCTTACTGCAAGAGTGACGTGCATATCTGTAGTAAAATGATATAGGAACACTTCCTGTTGAGATCTATATCCAAACCCCTATTGGATTGGCACTCCTTACCAGGGAATTTGCCTGTTTTCTTTTAATTTGGTTGTTTATGCAAGAATGTTAACATACAGTCTTCTCTTAAAATTCAAGCTGGGCAGGGTCCAGACAAAAATAATTGCACTTAAGCCTCACTAAAAACAATGGGACAAACGGGGGCCAAAACAGACACCACTTTAAAGACTGGTTATATATGCCATGCTATAAAATGTATAAAGGCCATTTTTACAATAGAGTCACATGACCTAATCCAGCTTTAACCTTTTCTGTCCCTTAAGGGCCTGATCTGGATTGGGCCTCCTGTGCCTGTACTTTATTTTGCAAAGTAATGACCCATAAAACAAGTGGTTTTGTATTTCACAAGAGAAATTGCAGGTGTGGTTCTCCTATTTGGATTGGGTCCATTGCAGTGGGAAAAAGTTAAAGCCTTTTGAAACTCCATACTATGTTCTAATCCAGGTTGGGCTCCCTCCATCTACTCTAGAGTAAACAATTTTAAAAGTCGTAGCTCTTAACTACATCTTTAATGTCTGTCTTGGCTTTTAGTTATGATTTAATGCAATGGATTTAAACTGAGTGACTTAGTTTGGATCCAACCTCTTATATATACATTCCCAACTTAAAGAAATTCACAAAAAGTGCCTCTTATATAAATGTACCTTTCTTTTGTTTATAAAATAGGCAGGAAACTCAAAGTACTGTTCTTTGTTTTGAAAAATAAACATGAACTACATTCCAAGAACTAAAAGCTATTTTTTTTCTTAACTAGAGTTTTACACATCATTTGTAGCAGTTTGAAGATAGCTTTTGCTAATGGCTTTGAAATTGTGAACTATGCATGAACCTTCTCCATGTACTCTACAATTTGGTGCTAATAAAAAAGAAATACAAACCTATTAAATGATTGACTTGTTCATTCAGTACAGTAAAGGACCAATAAAATGCGCATACAAGTAGAGACATTTTGAGGAGCTGTGATTTTCAGATCCCTCTCCACCCTCCCCATTTCCTTTACTTTGCATAATTTCTTCCAGTTTTGTCGTAAGAGGAGGGTGACATAAGAGGAGTGCAAAGTACCACAAGCAGGACATGTCCAGTGGCACCCTCCTGTTCATGTTTCTCGGCATCTGGCATACAAAGGCAAACTGCTCCTGATTCTGGCGAGTAATATACAGCTACTAGTTAACAACAGAATAGGTGAAAGAAGCTACTTACACCTCCCAGCAATCCTCACTTTTGTAATTTCACTAGACATTGCCTTTACATTTCATACAAGTGTATCTTCACCCTCCTTCATGACTAGAAACATGCTTGCATGTTTTGCTTTTCTTTTGGCCGGTTTAAAGATACTAAACTATGTGCCCAATTGTTCTGCTCCTTCTGTGCAGTTGTGGCCTGTCATAGCAGGATGCATCGCCCTCTCTCTGCACAAACTATGGCCTAATTCCAGTTAATAGTTTGAAGTTTTAGCTGCTTCTATCATGACTTTTTTTTTGACTCAAGTGCTTCTGAGAAGCACTGGCAGATGTTTGACACAATATGGGAATCTCAATCTGGTTCTTAAGCAAAGGAATCTACAATAGTCCTACATAGTTTCCTCTAAGTGTTTAGGATTGCAGCTCACATCAGTCCATGAGGGGACAGGAAGTTTAAAACATCTCAAGCTGCAGTTATGGGCCCAATTATCAAGGAGTGAGGCCCGCTGATCTCAGTGGGACTTGCTTTGCAGTAAATAGGAATTGGATGCTGCTTTTCTTTTCAAGAAGGTGAGCTGGAAGTCAGGTCAGCAGAAGTGCACGGTTTATGCTTGCAAACACTATAGGAGAGACCGCAGCACCATTGCAAAGTCACAAAAGAACACAAAGCTTTGCCAGTATTGCTGGCAGATGTTTCAGGGCAAATGTTTTGGATTGAATTACACGTTCACCCATTCCTGAAGGCCAAAATGTTCTCAGAGTTGTAGAGGATGTGCTGTTTATGTTCCAAGTGTAGGCTATTTTAAAAAGCTGCAATTTGATCCTCTCAAAATCAGCTTTCATTTGAATGCTCCCAAAACCTGACTAATGAGACCTATTCTCTACCAGATTTCAACATTGTCCAGCAGTTTCTGTGCCTGGGCTGACTTTTGTCTTGTTTACAGGAATGATTTCTACCAAGGGCGCTGTTCTTCCCAGAAGCCCTTTGTTTTCTAAAGATCCTTTCATTCAATTTGAGGAGAAACTGAATGGAGAAATATCTAGAGTAGTGGCATGGAAGACAAGCTTAGATTCTGAAATACGCTAAGTGACTATGAGCACTCTCTAACAACTTTCTAAGGGTAGAACAGGAAATTATGGAGAGTCTGTATTTGTTTTCATACGGAACTAATATTAAAGCATAAGGCTATATGTTACACATGTGCACCTCACATCTGAGTGGTAGGACAGCACTCACCCCTATTCTGTGTCTTTGGAAAGGGGGTCACAAAAGCCTATGGAATGTTGTGATGCCTGAATTTATTTATGAAGATAAAACTTGAACATAAAGTGGTGGTTCATAGAGGAAATACTCAAGCACAGATATTGCTTCCCTATTAAGTTTCCAGGCCATTTCTACCAACTGACTATCTCCTTCCAGAAACCTGTCCATTCGGAGCCATCTCATTAAGGACAGAAGGATCCTCTTCCAGTGATTACTCCTCCAGTGTTTTCAAAATGTTCACAGGACATCCTACTGGTTTTCTTAGCCTGCTTTTGATGAGACCCCAAAATGGCAGTGCTGCAAGGGACCCTTTGGATGACATGCTGACTAACCAGGTAATAAAGTGACCTGGCAGGTAATTTATAACAATACAGAAAGCAGCCAAGAGGCTAATTATTATAAGGTCCTGTCCTGCCATTGTTGAGAACCCTAAGATGGTTTTATAGTGAAGCATGAGAATGAAGCATGCATGCAATGCAATATAAAATAGGTTCTGAATATGCAGAGTTTTCCTGAATATGCAGTCTATTTGTCTGCTAGTATTATGTTTAGGTCAGGATAACTCAATTTTTGAGGTACTCCTGAATTTTCCTGGAAGTAGAGAAACTCTAGTGGTTTGCAGCTGTAACTGAGTGTGACCTATACAAGCCTTCAACTGAGATTTGCTAGCTGCTGGAACAGCACTTCTATCTCAGTTCCCCATACTTAGAAATCTTTTATCTTTTTAGAGTGATCTGTCATGCTACTAACTTAGGAGTTCTTGAGAAGTGTCTCTTTCTGGAGTGCCCTTTCCCTATACTGGAAATTTTGGGCATTTGGCACTTTGCTAGCCTACTGAGTTTGCTAAATAGAATGGCCCCAACTTGCCCCATAGATAAGACAGCTGTAGACAGAGAGGTATTTGGCAAGAACAAGGAGAAGCAGAGCTTTCTCTGCAATTCTATGTAGCTGCAATACTATAGCTGCAGTACTTTTCAGGAAAAGAGCAACTGGGAAACTCTTAGGATGTAGTCTAAAATATGTTATCTAATACATTATTAAATGGAAGGTCTAGGTCTCTACAAAACATGAGGACAGATTGGAGAGACTGTGGATAGAAGATGTGACCACGAAGTGTAGAAAAAATCCTTTGTCTGCAAATTGGATTACTTAAAGGCTGCAAGAAGGGATTCAAACTCTCTCTCTCTCTCTTGTATTTATTAAACAATTCTGTAATAGTACCACTAACTTGCCTCTTTCCTGTATTATGTGTTCCATATTAATAGATAAATCTAGCACTTTGCTGTGACCAGAAGATGGTGCTCGTAAGTTACTTACGTCTTAGTTAGCCTCAAATACACTTGGTGAAATATTTCCCAAGATATGACATGAAACTTAAATTACCATGTAGTCAGTAGAAGTGTTTTATTTCCTGCTTCCATAACAGTGACATTCATAATCATGTAGCACTATTCTGAAAGCTGAATTGCAAGAATATGCGTTGTAAGTTAAAGTTTGGATCCAGATTACATTGGATTGATTGCATTTGCTTTGCTGCAGTCTGCTTCCTCACACAATTCCTCCTGTGTACTGAAAATGCTATGCAAAGACTCAAGAAACTCCAAGGAATTGGGTAAGCTAAGGTAGTTAGTTAGCTCTTGGAGGGGAGACTGCAAACATTTCTACGAAACAAGATTAAATCTGCTGCGTTGTTGCTATGGATGGGTGCATTGTATGAACTCAGCTGTGTTAAGCATGAACAATCCACTGTTCACAACCCAGGAACAAATTGTGGGTCCCCTTGCTGGTTTTTTGTTATGTGCCATCATGTCATATCTGACTTATGGAGACCCTATAATCAAATGCCCCCCAAAATGTCCTATTCTTGACCGTTATACTCAGTTTTTGTAAACCAAAGGCTATGGCTTCCTTTATGGAATTAATCTATCATTTATCTATGCGTGCCTGCCTGTCTCATAGTCCATTTCTTCCTCTTCTGCATTACACTTTCCCTAGCATTATTGTCTCTCCAGTGATGGAGAAACATCTTTTATGATGTGCCCAAGATACACAGGGTAAGTTCTGGCTTGATTTGATCTTGGATTTTCTTGTTTATTTTTCTTGTGGACCAGGGCATCTGCAAAACATTCTGCCAGCACCATGTGCTGAATGCATCAATTTTCTTCAGTGCAGCTTTCTTCAGTTCAGGTTTCTTCAGTGCAGCTTTCGACACACGCGCTGGTGACTTCCCACCTTGACTTCTGTAATGCGCTTTACGTGGGGCTTCCCTTGAAGACGGTACAGATACTTCAATTGGTTCAAAATAGAGCTGCCAGGCTGCTGACGGGGACTGGGCGTTATGGTCACATGACTCCATTTCTCCGTCAGCTTCACTGGCTTCCCATTGAAGTCCGGGCCCAATTCAAGGTGTTGGTGATGACCTATAAAGCCCTTAACAGCTTGGGTCCTGGTTACCTGAAGGAGCGCTTACATCCATATATGCCCGACTGCCCCTTGAGATCTGTGGGAGAGGCCCTTCTTCAGGAACCCTCCATGAAAGAAATTAGGAGGGTAGGTACTCGGAGGAGGGCTTTCTCTGTGGTGGCGCCCAATCTATGGAATGCGCTCCCCAGAGAGGTCCGCCTGGCACTGTCGTTATTTGTTTTCCGGCGCCAGGTGAAGACCTTTTTATTTAAACATCATTTTAATTGTTAACAATATTTGCTTATTTATCTGGCCAGGGCGACTTCTTTTATATTTTATATTGTTAATTTTAATTTTATATTGTTATTTTTGTATTTTATTGTATTTTATTGTGTTGTAAGCCACCCCGAGGCTTCGGCAAGGGGCGGCATAGAAATGTTCTAATAAATAAATAAAATAAATATGTGGTGATTGGAAATACAATAGTGTGGGAGATCTTGGCCTTGGGCTTCAGTGAAAAATCCTTACACTTACTGGTTCCTTCACTGCTGCCTTTCCATGTCTCAGTGTTCTAAATACTTGGCAGCAATTTCAGTTTGAATTAATGACTGAAGTAAGAATTTCAGTGCCTTCTTTCCAGCCTCTTTTGTACCTCTTTGCTGCTTCCTTCTGTTGCTAGTTGCCACATATGTGCATGTGTTACAGAGCAATAGGGATGTGGATGGCACAGTGCTGTAACCGCTGAGCTGCTGGGCTTGTCGATCAAAAGGCTGGCAGTTCGAATCTGCGTGACTGGGTGAGCATCTGGGAACCCTCCATGAAAGAAATTAGGAGAGTAAGTACCCAGAGGAGGGCTTTCTCTGCAGTGGCGCCCAACCTATGGAATTCACTCCCCAAAGAGGTCCGCCTGGCACCGTCGTTACTGGTTTTTCGGCGCCAGGTAAAGACCTTTTTATTTAAACATCATTTCAATTGTTAAAACATATGATCTGGCCTGGGCAACTTCTTCTTCCTTCTCTTTCTCCTCCTATAT